AAAAAAACAACAAATAGTATTTAGATTTATGATAATAAGGTAATTTGGATGGAGAGGATTGGAAAGTTTTTGGCACTACAACTACTAGAACTACTATACCTCAATCCTAAATTAGTTGGGTTTGGCATAAAGTCTTCGACACCAGTTAATGTTTAATTGTCTTCTTTGCGATTCTAACTTTCTCACCCTTCCCGATGAAGTCATTGAGTCTCAAAAGATTGTGATATGTTTTCATTGAGATATTTTTATAATGTATGCGAGTTAACACAATCATCGCAAAATATCCACCGGTAAAAAAAACTTCTTATACTTGTTCCAATTTCAGCTCAAAACTCATTCAAGAGGGAAGGATTCAGGAAAAAATAAAATAGTATGGCTAAAAGTATTTCAATATGCTCAACTTTGTGGAAGGGACGGAATCAAAGGTGTTTTGAGCCAAAACTATCGCTGTGTGTATTTTGAAGTATAAATGCTTAGGGCTCTTGGCTCTTTGGTGTACACAAAAAAATATATATGGCGGGGACAACATGATAGATTTTATTAACTCCATTATCAAAAGATTTTATTAATCCCTCACTTCATGATTTTCACAAAGGGTCTCCCCTTATTTTGTACAGGGGGTACCCCCTCCTTTCGTACAAGGGCATCCCCTCCGTCTGAAATGTCCAGCACTTAATGCATGATTTTTATTGTGAATAATACTTTTGTTGCATTTTCACAACAGTTTGGCCCTCTGTATGCTAACAAGAAATATTTATTTAGAGTGTTGGTCCCATGCTATTCGCCGTGTTCTTGCCTTTTTTGTGCTACTTTCATTTTTCATTCTACTCCATTTTCTAAGTTGCTTCGTCTATCAAGTGAGTGTTGAATTTGTTATTTACTGCTCTCTATCAACTCATTTGGCAATTATTTAGGTCTTACTTATTAAAAGGAAGCTATGACAAATAAATAGTTATGCTTTATCTACGAAAATATATATCTCTTCATCTTATATCTTGTGAAATAGTAATCAAAAACCCCAGAGAAACTAAGTTTTATAGGAGTGTTACCTCCCGAGTACTCTTGTGATTACACATTGTATTTTCTCAAACAAAAACACGATGCAACCTAGAGTGTTGGTCCATTGCTTGCACGAGCCAATCCCATCTAGTATAAATATAGTAGTAATAATATTCACAAATAACCAGGAGAGAATATTATAGCTTTATTGATTTATAATATTTGTCAACTTGAGCAATTACTCCTTATTACTCAAAATGTCAAAATTACATTCAACAATAAAAAGAAAAAGGTAAGGACTACACTTCTTATTCAGTCTTTTCTCATAAGAGATTTTTACTTATTGTTGGGTTGTCTAAAGTCTCAGACAAGAGCCTAATAGAGTAGTCATTTTACTTACATAGCACTTGGGCCCATTGTTGGACACTAGGCACAATTTTGTAACAAAAGCCATAAATGTAATACTAATATACATAGATTCTTCTGGAACAATTAGACATAATATTAAATAAAAGAAAATATCTTTCTTCTCTCTCTTGTTGCTCGACTTAGGGCTTTTCTATTTTCAGTTTTAATTTCTCTCAATCGACTCCAATAATGGAGTCTAACATGGTATCAGAGCCTAGCAATCGATCCGTCTTGATGAGAGCTTTAGTCCGATGGTACCCGTCTGTTTTGGTTCAATGGTTTTGGTCTAGTACTGAGATTTTTTGATCTGAGCAATTTTGGAATTTCTTCAAGTTTTCCGGATTTCTTCGAGTTCTTCTTTTGTTTCTGCATTTGGAAGACCTTAACTTCTTCAGGTGTGCGAAGAAGAAGGGTAAAAATTTTGACTTTCATTTGCATGTGAAAATTAATGTACGATTAGGTTTTTTGTCTGCTCGATTTCGACTGTGATATAGTGATATTTGTATTATCTCGCTTATTTGAAACTTGTTATCATACAAAATTATTATTACTTTGTCTGAATATAGAAAGTCCTTCCTCCGCCACTGATGGCTTTGTTGAGTATACTTTGGACTCAGCTCACCCTTTCTATGTTCACCCATCTGATAGTCCTGGTAGTCAGTTAGTTGTTATCCCTTTCAATGGGACTGGTTTTGTACACTGGCGAAGTAGTATGCTCACCTCACTTTTTGCTAAAAACAAACTAGGCTTAGTTACTAGCAAAGTTCCTCAACCTCCACCCGATTCTCTCTATTATCCTTACTAGGAGCAATGTAATGATATGGTAAAGGCTTGGATTACCAATTCATTGACTAGGGAGATAACAATTAGTGGCATATGTCTCAACACTGCTAGGGAAGTATAGAGTGATATAAATGAAAGGTTTGGACAATCTAATGGATCCAAATACATTCAAATCTAAAGAAAAATCAGTTCTACCTCGCAAGGGTCTTCTGATATTGCCACTTACTTCACTAAAATGAGGGCTCTTTGGGATGATTTAAACTCTGCATATGTTAGTCCTATTTGTTCCTGTGGGGCTCTACCCAAATTCATAGAAGACCAACACTTTTTTCAATTCTTAAGTGGGTTGAATGAGTCCTATTCCACTGTAAAGAGTAGTATCATGCTCGTGTCTCTACTCTCATCCATTAGCAAGACTTATTCTCTGCTCTAACATGATGAAAGTCAAAAGGAGAATCAACCTCCAGCCAGATTTTTTGGTGATTCAGCATCTTTCTCTGCCACTACAGCTAATTCAGCACATGTCAATCAAATGAATTCCCAACACAATACCAGATCTTATAACCAAAGAATTAACTTTGATCCAAAAAGGAACTCACTATCTGTGTCTTGCAAGTACTGCAAAAAGCATGGTCACACGGTAGATAAATACAATAGACTCCATGGCTTTTCTGCTGATTTCAAATTCACCAAAAATAAGAGATCTGCCTCTTGTGTTCAAGTAGAAGAAGTTGTTGCTGATATTGGTCATAGCATCAAGTCTAGTGACTCCACAACTTATGATTTAAGCAAAGAACAGTATCAACACCTCATGACTATGTTTCAGCAGGCTCACATCTCTCCTGGGATTCATTCTTCACCTTCTGATGAAAATATTGGTTATGCCAACTTTGCAGGTGTGTGTCATTTTCCTATTAATCAATTCCCTGTAGTTAATTCTATAGTACATTCTTTGTCTGCTCAGTTAGAAAAAATACCTTGGATACTAGATTCATGTGCCACCAATCATATGACTTCCAATAAACAATTCTTAAACTATTTACAACCCTTACCTAAACCTTACTTAATAACTTTACCAAATGGTTATAAAGTCAAAGTAATATCTACTGGTTCCTTATATCTTAGGAGAGATATTATTTTACACAATGTACTTTTAGTTCCTTCTTTTCAATTCAATCTTATTTTTGTATACCAACTTCTTTCTCAATTGCAATGTTTAGCATTATTCAGCAATAACTCTTGTTTTCTACAGGGCCCTTCTCTGAAGAGGCCATTGAAAATTGGTAGAGCTTCTTATGGGCTGTACTTTCTACTTCCTGACATGCCTGAGTATTCACCTTCTGTTTCTACTATTTCTTTTGGTACTGCTCGTAATGTTCTTCCTTCTAATTATGTTTCCCCTTCCCCCAGTCCCTCTTGTAATTCTTCCACTAGTGTTAATAAGAGTGAATTGTTTTGGCACCAAAGATTGGGTCATATGCCTTTTCATAAGATGAAGTCTATTCCATTTCTATCTAACATAGTTTCTTCTAAACAGTCATTTTCCTGTCTTGTTTGCCCTATAGCTAGGAAACAGAGATTTCCCTTTCCTGAAAGTCATATCAAGTCCACTTCTCCTTTCCAACTTCTCCATTTAGATCTATGGGGCCCTTACCACACCAGGACATACAATGGGTTTAGATACTTTCTTAGCATTGTGGATGATTTTTCTAGAGTTACCTGGACCCATCTCTTGTCTTGTAAGAGTAATGCCTTATCAATTATCAAAGCTTTCACCAAAATGGTTCAGATTCATTTCCATTCCTCTCTTCAAACTTTCAGGGCTGATAATGCCTTTGAATTAGGCAGTAGTTCTGAAGCACATACATTTTTCTTTGAAAATGGGATTCTTCACCAAACCACTATTCCACATACCTCACAACAAAATGTGGTAGTTGAAAGAAAACATAAATATTTATTAGAGACTTCTAGAGCCTTACTTTTTCAATCTCACTTTCCTGTCAAATATTAGGGTGAATGTGTCTTGACTGCCACTTATATAATAAATAAGATGCCTTCTTCTGTCTTAGGGAACATGTCTCCTTTTCAAAGGTTGATTGGTGTCTCTCCTTCCTATGACCATCTCAAATCTTTTGGTTGTCTGTGTTATGCTACTACTCCCAAACCTAGTAGGGATAAATTCCAATCTAGGGCTATTAAATGTGTCTTTATGGGGTATCCCTATGGTAAAAAGGGTTACAAACTCCTTAGTCTCACCAATCATTATGTTTTTTTTTCCAGAGATGTGGTATTTCATGAACATGTTTTTCCTTACTCTTCACCTTCTTCTCCAGTACATCATGTTCCTCATGTTCCTTTTGTGGATTGTGCCTCCACTTCTCCCCCTTCATTTTCCTCTACTGCTTCATCTTCTTCACCTGAATCTTCTGCTATCTCTCCTCTTCCTCCTCATTCTCCTTCTACATCTCTCCCTCTTACCTCTGATTCTCCTTCTGCCACTTCCTTACCAGTTTCTCCTCTGCTTAGGATGTCTAGCAGGGTCTGCCATACTCTTCCCTATCTTAAAGACTATGTTTGCTCCTCTGCCCTCTCCAATCCTGTGTCTGGGACACCTAAGGTGTCTCATGCTGAGCTACAACTACATGAACCTCAGTTTTATCAGCAGGCTGTCTCTCATCCTGCTTGGCAAGAGGCCATGCTATAGGAATTTCAAGCTCTAGAGGTCAACCATACTTGGGAGATTGTTACTCTTCCTCTTCACAAGAAGCCTATTCCCTGAAAATGGGTTTACAAGATTAAACAGAAATCTGATGGCTCTATTGAGAGGTACAAAGCCAGATTAGTTATTAGAGGTGACACTTAGAAGGAAGGCAATGATTATAGTAAGACCTTCTCTCCTGTTGTTAAGTTCACTACCATCAAGTGTCTTCTTTCTCTTGCTACTAAGAAGGACTGGACTGTATATCAACTTGATGTAAATAATGTCTTTCTTCATGGTGACCTTCATGAAGAGGTGTATATGAAACTTCCACCTGGTCTTCAGCTTTTTACTTCTGTGGATTCTAATTCTTCTCCCTTGGTTTGCAAGCTCAACAAGTCACTTTATGGCCTCAAACAGGCTTTCAGGCAGTAGTTTTCCAAACTGTTTGAAGCTCTGCTATCTAGAGGCTACATTTCAAGTAAAAATGACTATTCCCTCTTCACCGTGTTTTCTAATTCCTACTTAACAGTCTTGGCTGTCTATGTTGATGATATACTGCTTGCTGAGGATGATGTAGCTGAGCTTGACAGTCTGAAATCCTTCTTGGATTCTCAGTTCAAGATCAAAGATCTGGGATCTGTCCATTATTTTTTGGGCTTGGAGGTTACCAAGAATAGTCAGCAGAAATTTGCTTCTGATCTCTTGGATGAATTCAACTGCATGCATTTCACTCCATTAGTGACTCCCCTTGAGTCATCTGTCAAGTTAACTTCTGACATGGGCCAACCACTTACTGATCCTAGTCTTTATAGAAGACTTGTGGGGAAACTCAATATTTTACAGCATACCAGACCTGATATTGCATTTTCTGTCCAACATTTGAGCCAATTCCTTCAGGCTCCTCAGGTTCCCCACATGCTGGTTGCCATGCATGTTCTCAGGTACTTGATGAATGCACCTGGGCAAGACATTCTCCTTTCAAAGTCTCCTGACACTTCTCTTGTAGCATATTCTGACTCTGATTGGGCTGCCTGTACTCAGTCTCGCAATTCTATCACTGGTTTCTTTATTAGCTTTGGTGGTTGTCCTATTTCTTGCAAATGCAAGAAGCAGCCTACAATTTCTCTTTCCTCTGCTGAAGCTGAATACAGAGCTCTGAGCAAAATTGTGGCTGAAATCTCCCGGCTGGTTCGATTATTTACTGATCTTGGTCTGATTTTTCACTCTCTTGTTCAGGTGTTCAGCCAGGCTGCACTTCATATTGCCAAAAATCCTGTTTTTCACGAGTGGACTAAGCATATTGACATTGACTGCCACTTTATTCATGATTGCTTACAGTCTGGCTTGATCTCACTTCACTACATTTCTATTGCTGACCAGCATGCTACATTTGAACCAAGTCTCTTGCAGGGCATATTCACCATCACCTGCTTGGCAAGCTTGGAGTGGCTTCCCCCTCCAGCTTGGGGGGGAGGGGGGGTGTTGGGCTGTCTAAAGTCTCAGACAAGAGCCCAATAGAGTAGTCATTTTACTTACATAACACATGGGCCCATTATTGGACAACCGGCCCAATTTTGTAACAAAAGCCACAAATGTAATACTGATATACATAGATTCCTCTGGAACAATTACACATAACATGAAATAAAAGAAAATATCTTTCTTCTCTCTCTATTGCTCGACTTAGGGCTTTTCTCTTTTCAGTTTCAATTTCTCTCAATCGTCTCCAATAATGGAGTCTAACACTTATTTATACTATTTATTTACCCTTACTATTAAGATTTTAACTTAATTACAAGTCCATATACAAATTACCAATTTTATACAAAAAATAATGTATTAGACTCTAATACATTCTCTCACTCTTCCACCCCAAAACTAAAATTATAAATTAATAGAAAAATGTCTGGCCTCTTTCTCCTCAACTTCAGCCATATATACCTTTACGAGAATAGAGAGATTTGATCATCAAGCAACTCCATTATGTTTTCTCTCTCTTCTTTTTTTTTTTCTATGTTAAACAATGAACACGGATGATCGCTTTTGAATGAGGGAAGATCGTTGATTTTTTTTAGATTTTTGGAATCAATAAACAAAATAATATTAATTAAAAGCGAATAGATTGAATTGAAAACTATGTTAATCCATTATTAGCCATTAAAAAGTTTCGAAACTTTGAATATGAAAATCGAATTTTACAAAATTGTTATTGTTTGGATTGGGAATTGTTGCAAGTAGGGGTGTACAAATAAAATCGACAAATCGCACCAACCCGATAATCCGAGTCAAACCGAGAAAAAAATCCGACTATGGTTTGGTGTTGGAAAAAAAAAACCCCGATCATATTTGGTTTGATTTGGTTTTAACTAAAAAAAGTCAAACCAAAACCAAACAAACCCGACATTATATGTATAGAAGTTTTAAATATATTTAATACATAAAAATATTTATTGTAGTGTAGTTTATAAATATTTCTTAAGTTTTTCATAGTTTTATCTTTTAACGTATTATTTCAAGTTTGGACTTATAATTTTTGGATGCTCCAATAAATTTTATAGTCCATAAATGCTAGTAACTCAAATAAATCCTAAATCAAAATCAAATCAATACTAATGCTAATAAAAGACATTCAATTCAATTATACTACGAATGAAAATAGTGTTGGATATCTATTTTTTAGCTTATCCATGGTTTAGATAAAATGCATAACTTATTTTTCTTTTATAGTGTTTAGTCATGTAAATAATAGTACTTATTAGTCGTACTTATTTTAGCAACTTATTAGTAATTTTAAATTATATTTGTTTTCATTATGACTTATTAATAATATTTATTTTGTGCTATTTTATTATCTTTATTGTTGAATATTTTAGTACAATGCCATAACTCATCTCATATTTATGTTATTGTATTGAAAAATACCTTAAAAACACCTTATATAGTTCTATCTTACTAGGATTAAAGAAATATTTAGAGCAAAAATTCTATGTTTTGTGCTATGAAGACTTTATGAAAAAAAAACCCAAATATCCGAGAAAAACCGAGACTAAAAAATTCGACTTTATTGCTTTGGTTTTTAAATTTAATAATCCAAAACAATTGGTTTGGGTTGGTAATTAGAAAATCTAAACCAACCCGACCTATGTACACCCCTAGTTGCAAATGATTGAAAATATCCTTTGGAGTTTATATCTCAACTTGAGAGAATTTGGTGAAGATTCAAGGTGGTTTTGGTTGGAATTACAAATTGAAACTTGAAAAAGAAAACATAAACACATTGTATATATTTTGGATGTCGAGTGTAGAAACGACATACAAAATATATACAACTAACATAATTATATATAAATTGTATGTAGATTGTAGTTTTGACCGGATTCTTTACAAAAAATTTGTATTTAAGTCGTAGATATATTGTAGATTTTGACCAAATTTATATATATTTTGTAAAAATTTTTAGTTACTTTCCGTAAATATAAAAATTTAGACAAAACCGAGTAAATAAATTTAAAATCTCGTATATATACGAAAAAGTCCCTTATCATAATGCATCAAGCCCACAATCACGATTTGCTACGTTCACTAGCCCAAGAAGCAAAGAGAAGCCCAAGATGGGTTCAAAATCTTTAACCATGGTTAGGACCAACCACACCTAATCCAGCTAAAAAATCAGAATACAACCAGATATTAACTAGGAATGGGATAAGGTCGATATGAAATGAGGAACAAATAAAAGCAAGGGCCATGATGCGGTACACGTAGACGGCTAAGATTTGATATTAACCGACACTTCACAAGTTGTTAGGTCAATATTAGGTGGATAGCCTAGGGTTTGTGGTTTCGCATCAACAACTTTCTGCGCAATTGTTTTATCTCTCTGAAGACTTTTTCTCTCTCTAGATTTTGTAAGCTTTCAGCGATGGAGATGGAACGCGTTACCGAGTTTCCGTTGACTCATCATCTGGACCGGCGGCCAAGAAAGAGGGCGCGTCTGGGCTGGGATGTTCTTCCTGTTGAGCCGCCTAAGGTATTAGATCTACCTTCAAATCCTTCGATCTGTTTATTCTACCTTTGGTTTTTCGCTTTTGTTTTTTGCTAGATCTGATCGAGATTAGGTTGTTTTTCGCATCAGGTATGGTAAAGACTCATTCTTCATGCGTTGTATGTTGTATCTTGATTAGATCTGTTGTGTTCTTACCTTCACGTGGTTTTTGTTAGCTGGGTTTATTGTATTTCAGGGCTTGATTTTTATTTCTGCAAGCTGTGAGGGTAAAGCTGTCTATATGTTGCCAAATATTTCTTTTTTTTTTAATTAAGCGTTTTTAGTCAGATCTCGCATGAATTATCTATTTTTGAGATTCTGAGATCCTATTCGATATTTTAATTTAGTCCGAATGGTCTTTGTTGTACCAAATGTTTCATGTAATGATGTTTTCATATCAATAGAAGATTTTTTAAAAATAAAGCCTCTTACATCAATTTGATTTCCTTGTCGTAAAGGGTTTGGTGTTGATTGTTCCTATAGCTTATGCTGTATTAATTAATTTAAGGAGAGTATTTTCCTCTTGGCTTATGTTGGGTTGGACTTGATTATAAGACTTAATCTCTCGGTTTTCAAAGGCTTCTGTTCTGCTTTGTAGATTCTGCCGGGACTATCAACTCATTAGTATTTGGTTATTGCTGATTGTTGAGTGAAGTTTTGTTCTATATTCTTTACATGCTATTTTATGTTACTTTGAGATTTCTACTTCAGCTTTCAAGGTATAAAGAGGTATTAAGATAGTTAGTTTTATATTAAGAAACCATGAATGGAATGCCTGTGTGTAGGCTCAGCTAGGATTGTTTTGTGGACAAGAGGTTGGGAATGTGACAAGCTACGCACCTTCAAGGCAACTCACAGAACTTACTTCCACACCCTTTATTAAGGGAGTGACTCAAAATGGTTCTCCCCCTTGGAGAGAAGATGACAAAGATGGCCATTTTGTGTTTGAGCTGGGAGAAAATTTAACATCACGCTGTAATCATCTTTACCATCACCAAAGAGTTCTATTTATTGTTTGGTGCCATGATTATAGTGACCTATTTTTTATGTTATATGTGCAATGATTTACTCACCTCCATTATATTTAATGATTTGACTCACCTTTTCCTAAAATTTAGTTTTACTAGTAGAACAGTAGATTTTTATCATATTTTTTAGTAGAAGCATTTATTTTGGTTCATATTTGTTCCTTGATAGAGTTGTAGTCGTTTTTTTTCTTGGGGATTTATTTTGTTACAAAAAATTAAAATGGTTTGCCAAAACAAGAAAAGACATTTTGTAGTTAGTAACATATAAGCTGAGGATTTTCCCCTTGCCATCTTTATATCCCCTTAATAGTCCTTTGATTTTCCTAAAATGCAGATAAAATCCACAGTAAGATGGGTGAAGGTACTTTCGGTCAGGTCTTAGAATGCTGGGATCGTGAGAGGAAAGAAATGGTGGCTATTAAAATTGTTCGGGCCATGAAGAAGTATCGTGATGCTGCAATGATTGAGGTTGAAATGCTTCAACAGCTTGGTAAACATGACAAAGGGGGCAATCGGTAAGTAATTGCCTGTTTAATCTACTTTTATCCTAATCTATGTACACATTCATGCACTTTTGTTATTTGTCAAGTGGTTGAACTGGTTTGTTCCTTGCAGTTGTGTACAAATACGGAACTGGTTTGACTATCGTAATCATATCTGTATTGTAAGTATATGATTGATTTGGACGGATTAATTTCCCCACCTAACGAATCTTATGGGGATTAAGATTTTGGATGAACTTAAATGGTTTAACAGGTCTTTGAGAAGCTTGGACCAAGCTTATACGATTTCCTTCGGAAAAACAATTACCGCTCATTTCCCATTGATCTTGTCCGTGAGATTGGAAGACAACTGTTGGAATGTATAGCATGTGTGTAAAAAATGCTTTGTACACATTTCTTTTCCTCAATCATACATATAAGTAGATTCAATATATAGGCTTTGAGCTGAATGTAACTTTGTGCCCTCGTGATCGGAGCATACATAGGATTTATTAGTACTCGGGACTGATAATACCATCATGCATACATTCCAATTCTTTCCCCAACTGTTTTGCATTGTAATTAATTATGATTCTGCTTCTCTCTTGTAGTTATGCATGATTTGCGCCTGATCCATACTGACTTGAAGCCTGAGAACATTCTTCTCAACTCCTCAGAATATGTTAAGGTTCCTGACTACAAGGTATAAACCTTTTTTGATTCAGTGTTACCTTTCTGTGCTCTTTTAATATGTGCTATCTGCACCCTGGCTGTGTATTTTGTTCTTGATGCTATTGCATAGGCTGATGCTAGTCAATTATTTCCTACAGGTTTCTTCAAGGTCGCCAAAAGATGGTTCTTACTATAAAAGAATTCCAAAATCAAGTGCTATAAAGGTAATTGATTTTGGTAGCACAACTTACGACCGTCAGAATCAGACTTATATAGTTTCAACTCGTCATTACC